GGCCTGCCGCTCCGTGCCCTGCCAGAGCTCTCGCCTAACCCCACGGGCTGCGTGCCGCATCGGGGCACCAAAGCCTCTCCCCCTTCTTGGTCATGGCCTATTGTATGCTAATTATCACCAAATCCAGACATCCTTTGATAAATTACTCCAAACCAGTAGCGTCCTTCTCAACGAAGAAAAAAAAAAAAGAGAGGAATAAAATGTATATAGAACATATACTAATTACTCCGGGCATCCTCTCACAGGGATCGGCATTCTAGCTATAAGACTTCTGCCTCGTTCGGGAAAACACAGGAATTGAAAAGATTAGGGAAATTGCTCTTAGCTAGTTTCCTCGACATATCGCGAGCACGCTTCCTGTACCGTCATAGCTATATCCTGGAAGAGAAACTGTTATTACACAGCCAGTTTATGAGTAACTGTAGCAGGAAAACCATAACAGAATCTTCACCTCCTGGGAAAACCAGCAACCAATCCTCACATGAGGTAAAACATTAAAAACAGGAAATAAAAAGAAAGTGAACAGAGTTCTGCCTGCTCGCCCCTATACAGCATCCCCAACAGCTGGGTTTAGCTCAAAAATTCTTACTTCCCTAAAGCAATTATTACTTACAGAAAGTATCCTTCACCTTCAGAGCATTTCCTTTTGTTGAGAGATGATCTTTTTTAATTACTTCAGTGAAAAAAGGCAGAAGCTGTCCAGATTTTGTAAAAGCAAGGGAAGTGTAGAAAAAAAGGATGGGCAATCCAATAGTAGATTAAAGCTGAAGCTCGAAGTCAGCACATATGCCAGCTTTCTTACACCCTCTGCCTCCCAGTGGAAACTATTACTTGAGTTTTGTAAATTGATGCGCTTTGTGCTACTTCCTTTAAATTGAAGCAGAGTGCTGTATTTACGCTTCATTAACATTTGTGCATGAAAACGTGCCAATTTTAACTAAGCTCCTTACATACTTTGTCAGAAGCAAGGCTGTTGCAACGCTCAAAGCTGTCCACGCTTCCCAGGCGGCCTCGCATTCTGTTGGCTCCCTGCAAGGAAAAGGAGAGAGTGATTTAATCTTGTCTTTTTCCTCTTTTTCTGAAGGTTAAGCAAAGATGGCAACAGCTGTGCAGGTGAACACAGGACAGTTCAGGCACGTGACACATTTGACGTAAGACCACAGATCACGGGGCAAGCACTCGATTTTACAAGCAGTGACATCTTTAGCTGTCAAAACTGTATCTTCTCCCCCCTTGCTCCCAGGAATTTTAAACCTGCAGCTCTGTTGTCTGAAGCCACTGAGTATTTCTTGATCCACTTAATGCAAAACAGTCAACTAAGCTTGAACAGCCGAGTTCAAAAAGCTCCAGACTTCAGTACCGTGCATGCGCTGCAGCTAATGGATGCATTTGACATACTACAATCTAAACCTAGAGTTTACTCCCTATCTAGACATTTCAGATAAATTAATTCCACCTTGGCAAAAGTAATGAGAGCACTAAAACTGGGAAAAACTGCTACAAATCCAACCAAATAGCACCAGATACAAACAAGCAGATAACCCTAAGGCAGATTTGCTAAAAATTAGCATTAGCAGATCCTTACCAAAATTGTTAACAGTCATCTGGTTTCACAGGAAAGGGTGATAGAACCAAATATTTTTGACTACCTTCCACTCCTAACTCCCATGAAACAGGGGTGATGTACGCTGTTGAACACTTCCAATTGCTGAAGTTGTTTTCAGTACTTTATCAGGGGAAAAACAGTCTAAGGTTTTATGAAAACTATAGGTAGAGCTCCTCTTGGTATGCTTGCAACTACAGGGGAAGTTTTGCCAACATCAACATTATTTATTTAGCCTACTTTTTCCAGGTAAGGTTTATTTTTAAGACATAGCATGCCCTTCAAGCACACTGTCCCATTTAAGCTCAGTACCAATGAACACTCTGCCTGAAGCATCTCGTCACTGACCCTCACAATAAAACAAGAACAAAGGATAACTTGGAAGTTTCTCACTATCTTTAAAAATACACACTTTTGGCACTGTAATAAGGTCTTTTTGGTTCAGAAAAAACAACGGAAGAGGTTAGTACAGCATGGACTGGAAGAAATCTGTCTGTAAGGTCAAACAGAGGTTATGTTTATTTTTCTGAGGTACCTCATTAGGAAGCCATGGCCTGTTTTCAGTTCAAACCTGACAAAAATAAGATCAGTCCAGCAAAACAAACAAGTGAAAAAGTAACACTCCTCTGGGACTAAGGGAAGCCAGAGCACAGAACACAGCATGATTCCCTGTGGTGGGTAGTGAGTAGCTACTCCTTCAAGTAGCTTCAAATGTCACTTTATGCTGTTTATCTAGCTAAGAAGCCATCCACTTAATGCGTTCCTAGATATCTGGTAATTTTGCTAAGACTGAGGCTGCGTAAGTCTCTCCTCCACATACACTGACTCACTATTTACTTAAATATTTTTATCTACAAAAAAATGCTGAATGCTATTTTTAAAAAAAAATTTCTTTTCTGCTGTCTTTGTTACTAAATATACTTTAAAATAAAGATGATTAAGACATCCAATAATTAGCATCCTATTATATCAACACCATATGACTTTCAGCTGGCTTAAGAGGGGAAAACCCATCACACCAATAGGTGTTTGGTGCCTAAATACCTTTAGGAATTAGCCACGATCCATTAGACTTATTGTAATAGCCTGACGAACAATAAGAACTACTGAAACAGTCATTGTATAACATATATATGCAAGTAACACACTGTATACATGCACAGAGACTCTTCTTGTCACATATACCTGTTCCAACCAAAATATTAGTGGTTGATGTGCACTCTAAATTATTTTTTCTCAGTCTTGTATTGTCTAACCTTTAAATGGATCTGCAAGGAGGAACCCCTACGTGTATCATGATTCACTACAACACATTACTGTTCCTGATCTCTTGCAGTTTCAAGTTAAAGATGAGACAACCTTCGTCACAACAGTAAGTTCGCTTCATAAATAGCAAACTTAAAATGGTCCTATTCCAGATTCGGGTGTGAATCACAGAATGTTAGGGACTGGAAGGGACCTCGAAAGCGTAGATCCTTACACTATAACATGCAGCACATCACAGTGGCCCTGGTGAGAAGGAATCATAGAATGGTTTGGATTGGAAGGGACCTTAAAGATCATCTAGTTCCAATCCCCCTGCCATCAGCAGGGACACCTTCCACTAGACCAGGTTGCTCAAAGCCTCATCCAGCCTAGCTAGGAACATACTATATCAAAAACAATATAGAAGCAATTTCCCTTCAGAGACTCTCCCAACTGAAACAGTGCATTTCATCCAAATGATTTTTCATTGACATGATCAGTGCTAGTACGGCCATATATGGCAAGGCTGCTTTCCTGGGTTATTCCCAGTGATATACACCTGTGCCACTATCACCGTAGGGTTAGTGACCCACTATTGGAGCTAGATCACTTTCCAATCACACACCCTTTAGATGTGGAAAAGAAATCAGACTCAGCACAGGCATGACTGTAGTTGTCACCATTTTATGATATTCCAGACTGCTGAAATTATCCGGATCTTCTGTCTGTCATCACTCTCTTTGGCGCTCTCTCTCCAGACCAAGTCCATAGTGTGTCAAACCTGCTACACAACACAGGACAGATTTGACCAGGATACTTTTAACGCTAGCTTCAGTCCTAGGTCAAATTCACATCTAACCTTAACAGTTCTAAGGATTCTCCCTGGCAAATAATGTTTTGCCTCCTTTATAGGGAACATCTGTGGCATTCTATGCTTGCAGGTTATTTCATGATATATCCATGTAAGTTACACGACATGTGCAACTTAGGACTCAATTTAGCTCAGTCCTTTTAAAATTACTAGCAGAAGAAACTTAATTTCACTGCTCCAAATTCTATTTAGACCTGGCCATCCAGCTCATCACACTTTCTCTGTAATGACACACTGTATCCCAGGCACACAGCCCTCTTCATTGACTCCTCTATATACCTCTTCTCTGCTTTCAGAGTCCCGCTACTGGGCAGGGAACACTAAGCAAAACTTGAAATTCAGACTTCTCTTTAAAAGGCTACTTAATATAAGAGAGTTCCAGTAACAGCTGGAATTCCATGTCACACCTGACTAGCAACACTGAAATGAAGAACAATTAATCTTTTTTTAAATTTATTTTAAATCTATTCTTTTTTTCCCTGCAAAAGGAAAACTGTGTTGCTATTTTCTAAAGATTCTTAGTGACCAATATGAGTAATTTTAGCTAAGAGAGGTAAGGCATTACTTCCCAGAACAGAAAGATTTCCAGTTTATGCAGGGCACATTTAGTCACATTTTCAAAAAAGGTAACATGGCTCTTTATGGGCTCATGCAACCATCCTGAATTTTTTTTTTGTTTTTATTATGAAGCATTTGATAATGCTCAGTTAACTTATTTGCCACCTACAATGAATGTTCATTATTCAGAAAGAGTTGCCTTCTTTCTCTCTGTACGTGTAGCCTTACCATAAACTTTCTAGCGCAGTTAAGTCACAATCAACCCAGCTATAACCTTCACATTTCACAACAGCAATATGGTTTCATTAAGTATTTATCAGACTGAGGCCAAAAGCAACAAAAAAGATAGGTCTTTACTGTCAAGGATATCTGTGAGAGCTGCTGACAATGAGTTGTTAATCTTACCCTTGAGAAGATATTTTCCAGAGAGCTAGTCAAGGATTTCTTGGCCTTGTTTTTCAGAATGTCAAGTTTAAACCTGCCACCACTGGTGGTGCTTTCTGGAATCGCAGTGTTAGAAATGGTCTGTTGAAATGAACAAGGACACAATTCAGCTTTGGCAATTCTTTTCGCAATTGTAGACCTCCACAGACTAGAGCTGAACCAAGTAACATAATAAACAACATACTCTTGTCCTTTATTTAAAAAAAATAAACAAAAACCCAAGCCCACACTCTCCAAAAACAAACCCACAAAAAACATAGTTAAAGGCACATTTCATCCCTAAAGACTATAGTGTAAAAACATATCAATTTAACAATACTGTTACCCGTTTCCTTTGCTAGATAAGTTCATAGTTTAAACTGAAACCAATGCCCTCTTTATCCTTGTTTACCCTAGAAATGACTGTTTGGGAGTAGGGATCAGGGAGGAAGGAAAAGGACAGAAGAGGTATCCTCACAACTTAGACCTAAAAATAACTGGTTGTCTTTCTTCCCCCTCTTCCTGCCCTCCAAAGTTAAAAAAAAAAAATAAAAAAAAAATAAAAAAAAATCAAGCATGACACTGTAAGCCACATCAAATTACTTCTCTTTCACAGTTCTCTCTTAAAGATAATATTCAGCTTTCAGCTATCCCTGATGAGCTCTAGTAATGGCCCTGTTGCATTTGAATAGGGTGGGAAGCTGGACGGGACTAATACAAAAATAAGCTTTACCGACGGTGCTTCACCAATGTGAACATGTGTTTTCTGCTTAGTTTCACAGAGTTGGCGTAGATGTAAGATCACAAGTTCATTCTCTTCTTGGTCATTGTCAGGCTTCATTTTCTGTCAGTAACAGCAAAGTAAAGAAAAAAGTTGAAGTTAATATATTCATATGTCAGATGCCACAGTGCACTATTAGCATGTCAAATTGCACTACATTTTGTCTGTCCTCATGCTCCTGAGCAAAGCAAACCAAAGCTTTCTGCATGGGCTGTGGAGAGGAGGGAGCCTTACACTCCCATGTTTTGTTTCCTGAGGCTGTCTGCCATTGTATAGCCTTATAAATGGAATACAGAAACCACAAAAACCAAACAGGTATTCCCTTCTTCAGGCAGCTAGAGAGGAGTGCAGCCTTCGGAAGTCTAAATTACTGTATACCTCATCTGCTCAAGTACACTTGCTTACACCTCCTGCCTCAGAATAAGTCAAAGGAGAGCTTCTGCAAATACCAACTAATCTCTGACACCTGCATCTCTCGCCTGCTTTCAACTCATTCCCATGTCACTTTCAAGTAGAGAAATGCATTTACAGATGAAGAAATAAATACAGAAAAAAAAATACTCTAGGTGTGAACACAGAACATTTCAGCATACTTCCGAACCAAAACTTTTCTGATAGCAGTGCATCACACATGAGGTTAAGTTGGAGCATGCTATTTCAGTATGTTGTTTGGTGCAAAAATAATAAATTCTAGATCAACTATGTAATAAAACAAACATAATCAGAAGAAAAAAATGTCTAACCATTTTATCGTGGTCTTTTTCAAATTGGAGACAACAGTATCTAATCTTACCTGAACACGTTCAAAAATGTCTGCTTGTTCATTATCAGTTAGTGATGATAGATGTCTCTGAATTACAAGTTTGGCTCTTGGTGGATAGAGTCCTGAGAAAAGAAAAGAACATTAAAGCTTCTAGATTCTCAAATGATGTCTCAAAACACTTTGGAAAAAAAGACAGTAGAAGATACAAACCTGCATTTGAGTTTATACAAGTTTAATGTATGACAGTTGTATATCTGCAATATCCACAATACAAAATACTTCAGGTTTTGCTCAACCACATGGTTTTGTCTCCTTTCTTTAGCAGTAAAGACAGAACTAGCAGCAGATAAGTGGCTGGCTTCTGTGTAAAAGGTTGTGCTCCCTACCCCACTGATGTCTTCTGTCCTAGTACCAAGAAATCACTAAGATGGAAGCCTGACAACTGTATAGGAGAGGAGGAAGAGAGGAACACATATGGGATATAATTGGAAAGATACTCAATGCACAAGATACTCAGAAGTTTTCGGATGCTTTTAATTGAAAAGTTTAAATGCATTTCTATAGAAGGAAAGAGTAGGGTACAGGTCATACCAGGTAACTGATGACACTTTTAAAAGCAAGAGCAGCATAAAAGCCATAAGAATAAAGGAAAGAATTTTTGATGTTCAATAAAGTGCACATTTGCTCACAGAGCTTGTTCTAGGAAACTACAAAAACTGTGGAGAAAACAAACCCCCCAAATCAGATGAAGATTTATGTTTTCTCCATCCAAGGTAGATATCACTCAGACAACTGCAATCAGAACAAATAAAAAATTTCCAAAGTCATGAAGTCCTGGGTTTGATTCTGATAAACTTCTAGACTCTAAACAAAGCACTCCTTCAATCACTAAGTGAAAAGTTTATGAAACTACTGTTATGGTACTCAAGCTTTTACCCTAGAAGAGATTTTATGTTGATACTTATCTTAGGCTTGCAAGTACCTGTATTCAAGATACTTACACTGCCTTATGCAGCAGCCTCTGTATATAGTTTTTCATTGACAGAGGACTTTCCCAGTTAAGCTTTATCACTTCTGAATATCTGTTGTAAATTGGGAAAACACCAGTCACAACCTAACAGGATTTCACTCCACTAAGATTTTATATGTTGCTTTTCCTCCACCAGAGGGAGTTAAGTAGCAATAGTGACTTTTAATGAATGGGAGAACTGGCAATTATCAGCACCATCATCACCACAACAGAAGATACAAAACTAGTGTAACACATTTGCTTTTCTTGCATACAACACTTTGCAAGGAGGACATAGTGGAGCGACTATAAAAAATAGGATCCTGCCACCTTTTTTTTTTTCTTTTTTAATTCTACCTTGCAAGATATACCTCACTTTCAGAGAAACTACAAAGGCTTGTGTATTCATATTTCAAGCCAAGTAATTGCCTTAAGTACCTTTGTTAGATATTATCTCTTAACTTAATAATTTATTTCCCATAATAGAACTAGGTTTTAAGTGTGTAAGAAAATAAATACAAAGAAGGGAAAAATAACCCCACTCAGGAAAGAATGAAAACATGAGAAAGCAAGACACTTTTTGATCACAACTGCCTTTTTATGACCCATTTTGAAAGCATGCATCTTCAGGGGAAAAAAAAATATTAAAAAGCACAGAAGATGAACTGGTGGGTTTTTCTGCTCTGCTTAACATTTAAGAGAGGTATGACAATGAAAGAGTATGTATTTATAACACAAGCTATACTATATTCAGTTGCAGTATCATTACTGCTACAACCTCCACTTAATTACAGACAGTGCAAAGTGATGTTAAGAACTGCTTATTGGGATACTTTTCTTTCTGTTCTTACACTGTTTAAGTTGAAAGTGCATGGTTGGCATAATTAAAATTAACAGATATAGAAAAATTCTTCTAGAATCATCAGAAAAACAGTTAGAAAGTAAACTCAGCTGCTACCTTCAATTCTTTCACAAAGTTTGTGCAATGAATGCATAGGGCAGGCCTCACACAGCTTAATCTGCGTCTTGGCATTTTGCAGAGCTGCAGCAGTGCTAAAGGCTTGTTTCAGGGTCAGCATTACCTCATCAACCTAAAGAGGAGGGAAGGAAAAGACAGCATATAAACAAAAATGCATGCCTTATACATCAAATTAGATTCATAAATCACATGGTAGACAGGTGTCTTTACAATCAAAAAAACCCGTTTGCTGCCTTGTAAAGAGACCAAGGCTGTATTCCCAGCTTTTCTGCCTTTTCTGTGGATGCTCACCACCTTCAAAGTTCAGCCAGTGTAATTCTGAATATCTAACTCCAGCTACTCAAGCTTACTGGGCATGCAGCCGCTGTTTTAAGAAGCCCCAGGTGGGAATTTTTGGCTAGAATATATCCTGGCTAAATAAAAGGCATTAACTTCTTTAGCTTCAAGTTTCTCCTGTAAACTGCACATGCTCCCTCTCCATGATTTTCCTTCCACTTCTGTACCATTTTAGAACAAAACCCCATAGACTCATCCTGCTGGCAGACAGGAGCTTCCCACAGCAGTTCACTTTTCTCCAGGCTACTAGACTGGCTACTAGCTTCATTGCAACCATCAACTTATCTTTATAAGTACTGCCAGCCTGCCTTGCAGTCTGCCTTACCTTTCCTCTGCCACTACCACAAATACAGCAGTGCTACATTCCCACACAACAGCACTGGAAAAGCTCAGCTTTTGTGTAAGAAAGGTCAGGGTGACAGCATTTCTTCGCACTCATTCAAATATACTTCCAGACCTTATATATAAAGCACTTGGAGTTCCCCTGCCTGTATTTTAGGGGAATACAATGCTTATTAAAAGCTGTTTCCTTGAGTCTTTGCATTAGCATGGAAAGGAGGAAACAACAGCTTGACAACAATCTTAGAAAACAAATCAGTATTCTACTTCAGAATCAGGTCCTTGCTCTTACCTGTTGCCTTTTTTTATAAGCAGGAAGAAGAAAGCAGAAATATTTGAAACCAAAATCATGCAGTCTAACATTGGAAACATACAGACTTTTTTGAGGGTCTGTCACTTGTGGTCAGGGGAGGAAATGCTTTATGTCCTGATATGTTTAGGTCTTATTTCTTTATTAAAAACTCACAGTTTTAAGCGCTACCAGTAATTTCCGGGTACTCTCTCTTCCTAGCAATAAAACAGGGCATTGAACAGTGAATATCCATCTTGTAACACAGGTTGATAATTTTTAAAGGTTGGCAAGAATGCGTCTCAAATGGGAAGATACACAGAACAGTGCTAAGCATATGGATTATGACTACACTGAAATCATGAGAACTGTAACACAGACAGTAGCTAGCTTTAGAGCAAATATACAAAGACTACCAACACAGCCTGTCTGCTATGAAGCAGCACAAGGATCCAGAAAGCATTAGGTTTTACAACTCTGCTCTGACACAGTCAAACTGTTTCTGGAGTCCAAGTAATTGCATCTGAAAGTAGCTCAGGAATCTTCATTTCATGTTGCAGCGTGGGCATACCCACACATATGCTAGGGCAAGAGTTGGACTCCATGAGCCTTATGGGTCCCTTCCAACTCACAACACACTATGATTCTATATTAGTAGTAGAAAATGTAAAGAGGTTCATAAATATATGTTTTCTTTATACAACACATTTTAAGTCTTTGAATTATGCATGGTCAGATTTATCAATAGGTCAGATGCAACATTTTCTGTTAGTACAGAGATAGAACAGATTTAATAACAACTTCTCATTTTGGTAAAAGCACAGCCTCAGCTAGCGCTGTTAGCTGAAGTTTTATTGACATAAATCCATTCACTCTCAAGCTAGTCAATAGATTAACACATTGCATTTTCAGCAAGCTAGAAATGTGATTTAAGTTTAGCTGAGAAAGAGTTGGCAGCTGCTAGCACAGCCATCAGGAAAAAACATGTTTCAGAATAGAAACCAACTTCTAAAATGTCAGAGCTTTAAAATAAAAACATGGTAGCCAAAATGATTTCCTGTATTGGTCTCACATTATTAAGGTATCTGTTATCAGTTAAATCACTGGCACCTGGAACTTCAACTGATTGATAAATACTTTATCAAATGTCCAATGGACTTTTTTTATGGTTACAACCATCCACGCATATTATGGCTTTGTTATTCTCTGATTAGATGCTGCTATTTTCTTCTCCTGAGGAAGAAAACAGACTACAGGGAAAATACTAAAGCCACATGCAGGATCAAGACAGTAGTTTAAACCTTACCCTGAAAAGTATGTTCAGGTTTTATCATCAGCTTTGTTACTGATTCAGCATGTGTAACTACAGGTTGATGGGGAACCAAGTGTCTCAGCAATTAGAAATACTAGAGTTACAATCAAATATAGAGCCCAAACATGCTCACAATCTGCATGTGTGAGCTCATACATCTGTATTTTTTCTATTTTTTATTGATATATGCATCAGCAGAGTACCAGAATATGGCTATACATTAACAGAATATATGTATTTCCTATTGGATACTTTCATATTCACAACTGAGGTCTCACACCTGAGAAGACATGACCACTGAGGTTCAGCTGACACAGCAGAGTAACAGACTCTTGCAGTTTAGGAAATGCCTCAGACATCCTTCGATAGAAAGGTTAGGATTGTTAATAAATACTCACCAGAGACTCGTTTGCACACTGGAACACATAGCAAACGTACTGGCTTAACCCAGGTTCAACAGATTCCCGGCAAATGAAGCCAAAGTGATCAACATGTTTTATACCCTAAAAGAGTTTAAAAACAGCATTAGTGGACTATTTTATAAACAGTTTTAGCTTCCAAAATGATTCTAAAAATAGTTACTATATGCCAATACTTGCCAAAACAAAAATCTGAGAAATTCAAAAGCATACTCCTAAAAATCTATTTTACAACTACAATAGTTGTCTTTTAAATTGCTTTTTGCATTTAAACATTACACAAAGCTCTTTACACAATCAAAAGTTATACAGCAATAGACCTGGACCTGAATTTCTTCCATTAGGATAAGTAAATTTTCAAGGAAGCAAACAAAAGAGTCCTAGGTTGTATTTGGAATTGCCTCTGTAGTGAAAACTTGTTGTAATAAGCCCATGTTAAAACACGGGACTGGAGTAGCATCAAAGTAGCAACAGATCTTCACTTTCTTGTAATACAAGTTTGGACTACACCAAAAAGAGCAGGGAATGAGCGGTGACAAGCAGAATTCCAACCAAATTCTTAAATAAATTCTTTGAGACTGAGTTACATACCAGAAGTTTCAAGACTTACTACACATTACTACTGATGTTTTCTTTCAAGATCTTAGTCTAACTGCTTGACAGGGAACATTGCCTTGCTAAAAGCAGCACTGAGAAGATCAAAGAGACCTGCTTCCTAAGAAGCACTATATTCCCAGTCTCAGTTCATGGAATATGACTCACTATTGTTAAAGCTTTTGCCAATGTTTTTATCATCTCAGTATGGTAATAGTAGATTTTCTCCAAAAGAAAGCCTAATCCCTGAAGTTCAAATACAACAGAAAGCAGAACTCAGTTGCTTGGATCCATCTCCAAAGAAAACACCTGTATCATAAAAGAGGGGAGGAGGCAAAACAACTTGCTTGTTACTCCAAAAAACACTCCAGACAAAATTGGTAATACACTACGTGACAGACAGAACATATTGATAGTACATGTTGTAGTTTTTAAAAACAAAATTCCAAAAATTACTTTTGTGCTACTTAAACAAAACTTGGCAGAGGTCCAGAGGGCATCTAAGATGGCAAAACCAGCATTAGTTTACCATAGTCCACACTGACCCTGACTTAATTGAACCCATATTTCTGTGACACATGAAGACTTCAAAAGCATAAAATGAAAAATAACAGATGCATACACATATGTTGATCTATAGAACAGTGAAATGTTGCCCACTGTTTTGCAGAGAAATCATATTTACTTAAGGTGGTGAGATGCCAGTTCCCTCACTGCTGACAGTGCCTGAACAAGTCTACTGCTGTCTAATTTCTCAGTCTCTGCAGGAAAACATTTGTGAGAGAGAGGGACGTGACACTTGCACCACTGGAGAGTAAACAGTGCAGTACGTTCCTCAATTAACAGTACTTCCATCACATTTCTTTAAGAGGGTGGCCACACTTGTCATGCCAAAAGAGCAAAGTTTTTTGTTGTTCTGGGTTCCTCCAAGGTCAGCAACACTGCAACAAGAAAACTTCATACAGCTGCCTGACACTTGAACTTAGACAGCACATACAGGGATTTATCATCAATTATATTTGCTGCTTTGACAATTATATGGAGTGCAGATAATGAATTGAATGCAGCAGATCAACCATACTTAAACTATAGAATAAAAATATCTTTATTAGACTAGACTAAAAGAATCCATAAAGCAAACTGAAGAGAACATCTCCTTTTCATTGTTTGTAAAGTTTAAGAGAACAAACGCTTCTAAGCTGCAGTCTCACAATACACAGTAAATCACTGTCCTATAAACCCACAACAGAGAAGCTCTGTGGCTAGCACAGAGTTCTTAAAAAAAGTACTGATGAGGTTTATGCAACCAAATCCTTAGTCTTGAACAAATTAATGTTTCATTTCTACTGAACACAGAAAAAAACCTTGACTTCTCTAAAGTTGTTTTGCATTAAAAACAAACACACACCCACAGTATTGTTAGTGCCCATTTGAGTTATTCAAGCATGCAAAAGTTTTGCTCCAAATGAAAGTGAAAAGGTGGAGTGAAAAACTCCACCTCCAAAGCCCAACACACAGCACTACCTAACACTATTTACTGTACACAGTTATTTTCCTGAAGGAAAGCTAGGCCTTGACCTTGAAGGTCTGACATAGTCCTGCTGGTCTCCACCACATTTTAAAGTCAGCAGAAAGAAGCTTGTCCCCACTTGAGACTAGTTTAAATATTATCAGTATGAACATGCAACTCAGGAGCCCAGTATGTAAAGCTGAAGTGTCACTTTTATTAGCTCAGTACACCCACAAAGGAGGAGAAGACCAAAGCTGTCCAGACATTTTCTTTTCCATACCACTGCTTTAAGAACCTTTGATCTGTATTTACTATAAAGCTATTAATACATCATTGTTTGATTATACTCTCCCATTGTATATTTGCACTTGCTTTTTTTCTCTAAGAGCAATACAAATTGTAGTTAAACAGCAGACTCCTCTCAAGGGCCTAGACCTTTAGTTGGTAGCTCAAGACTCCACTTGAGTTACAAGTATTGACCAGTTCTTAATTTGTATTTGCATTGGTAGCACAGTCATGCAAGAGCAGATTTGTTATTAGCATTAAAATGAAAGTACTTGGGGGTGAAATGAAGGTTTAGAGCATTTCAGGAAGCGTACTTTAAACTACAATAACAATGTTTAAAGAGACCTGAAATGATGCATGTGCATAGTGAATGAAAGAAGGTAATAAAACAAGACCTCAAATAGAAGAGCCAGAAGTAACAGGTGCTTCAGCAAGACAGAGAGGTGAATCCCTCAGCACTAGCATTTAACTTTATAAGACACATTTAGCTATTACTGGACACAGCTAGGTTTGTCTATTGCCATAATCTCCAGACGAAATGATGCAGGTGAACTGCTATTTTTCTGGAGAGCTGATCTGATGCTCTCCTCCTTTCATTCCAGAGGCTTTCACAAGCTTAGCTGCTCCGAGACAGCAAAATCAGAGCATCCTAAATGGAGATTAAGCTACTCCCAAAATTATATCCAATGTTCTCCCAAAGCAGTTTATACTTTGTTTTCTGACCAATGATCAAAGCTACCACAGCTCAACTGGTTATTTCATGCCCATCTTTTCTGTACTTAGGCTATTTGAGAATGACATTACATTATTTTTGTGCAATATTTACTTAAAATTACTACCAGATGAGTGAAAGCCCCGATTTGAATAACAGATCCCACTCTTATAAAGGCAAATCAGTATTCGCCTGCTGTAACCGTTCATGAAGCAATCACAGTTTAATATTCAATTTCTTCAGCTGTACTCCCCAAAGAAGTCAATGCATCAAACTTCATGCAGGATTTGTATACACATTAGTCACAATTGCTCAAAATTCCTCTGCCACCCCCTCTGAATTTACTTTCATTCACAGTAATTTATATAGGATAAATTGTTTATAAATGGCCTTTGAGACTGAATAAAGGAAAACACCACAGAATGCTGAAAGAGAATTCTATATTTCTTTTTTTTTTTTCTGCTGCCTATAGACCAGCAAGGCAACCCAGCTGAAGAACAAATAAATTCCTTATCTCCTGATAATCTACACGTTGCTTCTTATTAATGCTTACCTGAGAACATGAGGAGATATCTTTAAAATTCTTTTCAAGCACAACAGATTTGGTGTCTGGACTGATGAGGTTAACTTCAAACCTTCCAACCTGAGGCAGGGGGGAGAAAAATAAGTCAAGTTTATGACTGCCTTTGAGGCCCAACATTAACAGCAACAAAAATGTCACAATCTAGCCCTTTCTTGTTCACACAGAGCACCTTCAGCAAAACAGCCTACTCAGCTGGAACAAGGGTGCCATAATTCAGCCTATGTTGGCTAAGAATATTTCAGCAAGAACAATATACTCAGTTCAATAGGAAAAAGACTTGGAAAGAAGACAACTTCCCCCCTCCCTTTTCTTTTTGAGTTATTTTGGTCCAGAGATCACATGTTTGACAGACAATACTAAAACCTTTAGTAAACACTGTGGCTAAAGCTACAATAAAAACCAGAATTTGTAGATGTATTAATTTTTTTAAACTACATTGTAGATCAGTTGAGAAACTATCTTGATCTTCAGGTGATACTTTTTATTTTTGTCATAATTCTGGATGAGAAAGAGTAAGTTCTGCAGAAAGCCACCTTTCAGCTTTCCCAAACTGCTTCTCAAGCGTATGGAACTTACTCCATAGAGCTCAGAAAGTTTCTCAGCTAAATCCTTTTCATTACTGGTGATAGAGCTGTGGTTTTCTCAAGGGCAATGTGTTCTCACTTCAGTTAGCATTTCCACAAGAGAATAAAAGGCAAGAATGATCTTTAAAGCAAATAAAAGACAAAAAAAAAACCCCAGACATCTAGCTCCTTGTTATTTTAAGGTCCAAAGATCTTTGCCTTTTATGGGTCACCTCCTTTAAATGCCCTTTTGTTTTCTCAATACAAGCTCTGAAGATGTCAAGTGCACTTCAGGCAAGAAAAGAAATAATCATGAGGTCTGAAGGAAGAAGCTTTCAGCGCAGGGACATTCGAGGACCCAGCTGGGAAAGACAAGCTGAACATCAGCACAAGATATCATAAAGGGGTCAGCTCAAAGGTAAGGCTGTAAAAGTTATGTGCAGTTGTGAGCTTCTTTTTAATTGTACACAAAAGAGGATTTGCTCACGTGGAAGTTTTCATGTGAACCAGAACTAAAAAATAATTATTTCCCTAGAAACTCTACTCCTGTAAGTAACTACTTCATAAGTAAACCCTTTTTCTTAAAATTTACCTGGGCTGATGAGTTGAGGCGATTCCCTTAAGAAAGTTCAGCTAATTGTGTTCCAATCATTTATGACCAGACACATAAATGCGACAAATAATGAAACCATACTGGATCCATACTACTTATCTTGCAAAACTTGTCTCAACTTCAAACTCAGGGGAAGATATCACAGAATCACACAGAATCACAGAATGTTGAGGATTGGAAGGGACCTTGAAAGACCATCTAGTCCAATGCCCCTGCCGGAGCAGGAACACCTAGATGAGATCACATAGAATGGCATCCAGGTAGGTTTTCAATGTCTCCAGAGAAGGAGACTCCACACCCTCCCTGGGCAGCCTGTCCCAGTGCTCTGTCACCCTCACTGTAAATAAGTTTCTTCTGAAGTTTAAGCGGAACCTCCTGTGTTCCAGTTTGCACCCATTGCCCCTATATGGTGCAAAACCAACATGAAATTGCTCTTAGCACACACCTGGAACAACATTGTCCTGTTCTTCTCAGAGTCGGAGGGCTGAACATGACTGGGTGCACTTGCATGTCTTCTGCGCGGCTGTGTTTTCAGGTTTGTGTCATGAACCCTTCTTTGCATAACTGCAGTGACACTGCTGCACCGGGAGCGAAACTCTTGCTGCTCATCAAAGCCAGAGTCCTCCAAAATTCGTTCTGGAAAGGAGCCACGAGCGCTGCCTAGGTTGGTCAAATTGGTCTGGCTGCCGACTGTAAACATCGTAGTGTGCCCTGGGGTGTTATTTGGGCTGTCCAGCTCCTCAAATGGGCTATCCGATGGAGAAGCTGGCAAATTTCCCTCACACAAGGTTAAGTCCAAACTTGACTCGTTATTCCGCTGCTCGTTTAATAGCTTCAGGCGCTGGCGCTCGTGAAGGCTAAATTTCTCAATGCAATCATCAATTAGTGTTGAGGGAGCTTTCTTGTGAGCCACCGTCACCTTTCCACAGTACAAGACCTCAAATTTTTGAGAGTCATAGAAAGCATCTTCACTGTCCTTACTTGGTTTGGCATCTTCTTTCAGTGCTGCTTTGGAGACTTGTCTTATGCTGCTGATGACATCTGGAACCTAAGGGACAGTTTGAAAGGTCTATTCAATAGCCACAAAAGAGATAGCACAGACAGCAATAGGTCAAGCATTTGTTAATGTCAGTATTTATACAAGTTATTTCTTCACTACAGTGCCACTAGTTTCTTTGCTGACAATATAAAAATAGCAAATTCTATATTCTGTATTGACAATTTATGCAGTGGAAATAAAGCAAAGACTTTTTTTTTTCCCCACTGGAACCTGTGTCAGAACAAAATTTTAAACTACCAGAAAGTCTACTGAAAAAATGTTCACGTAATTTCATTTATTTATTTATTTTACTGAGACTGCCTTCTCTTTTCTGTAGCTCTCTTCCCACATCAGTATCTCTTGCTGATGTATTTTGCATAGGGCCATCACTGTTTCCTTGTTCTTATTTTGCAGAGACAGATACTCCATTCTTAAGACAGTCGTGGAAACAGTTTTGTGAAAAAGAGACCAGCAATCCCCATCAGTTTCAGCCAGCAGTTTTGGAATAGAGGCAGCAAGTGTATGGAATTTTTACCAAAGTACCATATACAATTGCATTACCTCTCATTTATTATCTCCTTCAAAAACCTCACCCCATCCATCCTATGACACGGCTCACTTTAAGGTCACGCTTCCCTGCTGTCTCAGTCATCATGCAATCAAGCAGCGCACCCAAATCTCTCTCTTCCTCTGTCATTCTTACTTGCAGATTCCCACCATGCCCTGTAAGGCCAAACTGCACATCTCCAGTAGAAACTCTTGATTTCAGCCCTCTATTACCCAGTCTTTTAAGGCCACCTGGTTCTTCTTCCATTTTATCCCAATCACCTTGGGAGGATGTCTGCTTTCAGTATTGACATATTTAATATGAAAACTCCTTTTTCATTTTGCCTTCGTTAAAGAAAACGAGGACTTGTCCAACTCTACTGACCACAGATCAGAGTGATTCTAGTTGCTCTTTTGGCAGCACCTACTTCGGTTTAACCAAACCTCTTCCTCACCAGGTCTCATCTTCTCTGGAAGGATAATGAATGACATCACGTTACTAGTTACTAGGGACAATGAGATCAAGACAGAATATCTATCTTATTTTCTTTACAAGGGAAGTTGGTTCTCAACATTCACCTAATCCAATGCAATCAATCAGCAATTTTTGTATTCCATCAGCTTTTCACCATATTTACAACATTTGATAATTTGTTTCAAAGTATTTTTTCTACTAAAAAAATAATAAAAAAAGGATAACCCAGAAGTCACACTTTAAGTAATCTATGCTCCTTACGGTATCTCTTTCTTTCAGTCACATGATACCAGTTGAAGCTTGCTAATCAGGCAGTAATCTTGTGTGCCAATACTTTTGCAAGTCACAGTGGAAAATTACCTAGTCTTAATCCTCATCTCCCATTACACACTCCTCATCCATTGGGCATTCAAATCAAATCTGCTCTCAGTTCATTTATTGCAAAATGAAGTTCAATTACCCTAAGATCTACTGACCGTTTGGCTTTCATCCCTATAGATGTGATCATCATCTCAGTTTTCAGTAAGGCTAAAAGTTAGTCTTGATATGACACAGATACTTGAGTGTATTTAATCTTCACTCATTCTCAACACCAAGCTGCTTTACCATTGCCCAAGGTGCGCTTCCTCACACCCTTGCTAGCGCAGCTGGACATGGACAGTTCTCACTTTATACATGCTGGTTCATATTCCAAAATGCAGCAATTTCTCTATTGATCAGTCCTCTTATTCTTTCTATGGACTGTGGTTAAAGAAGCTGTAAAGCTTTAATCTCTTAGCTCTCTATTTTAGCAAAATTCACAAGCTAGCTGTCTTTTAATTAACATTTCCCTTTTTAGAATCCAGAACATGTTATTGGTCAATTCACTTATATTTTTAGTCAAAGTACAGTGACAAATGATAATTCTATTCAAAATACAGAAATTCTACATGCAGTCAACTAGAATAAATAATGTCAGCTGTTAAATCAGCAATTTGAATTTTTAAAAGAGTGCACCATCACTTCCACTCCACTAACTGGGTTCTGCCACTTGCTCATCTCTTCTGAGATAAAAGAGTAAGAGAAGTCTTTGTAATAATACCCAACAGCCTTCTGACACATTCTATCCCCCTTCAGTTCCCCTACGAACGAATGTCCAAACAGGTTGGGGATAAGACACTACCACGTCTACCACAACAGGATTCCCCACCCACCCCCTCCTCTCTCAGAGGTCTCCCCCCACAAGCAAACACACGGAGTCTTAAGTAACTGCAATTCTATTTAAAAAATACCCTACCATCCTGATATTTATCACTTGGTTTTACTTCCATCTTTTCCAGATCCTGCATACTCTTCAGTCACTAGTATTCGAGCCACAATTACTACTTCACAATCCCTGCTCCCCATATAACTTTTGCTTCTACCCACCACATATATTGCTACAGTATTTTCCTTTCAGCATAGGAGGATCCTCAGATTAGAGCAGATGTTTCAGCTCATACTGCCCAACCAATCCTTACCCCCTCCTTTGTTTCAATAACCTTTTTACAAACTATGTTTTTTTTTTTTAGAGTGCCCCTTCATCAGTATTCACTTTTTTCCTATTTATTTCCTATCCACAGAATTAAAGCAATAAATCAAGGTGAAAAATTGAGACCTACTTAATCTCATAGTTATGAATACTTTTCTTAAATACAGATGAAGAAGAAAACAATGTAACACAGAGATATCACAATAGATAAGAAATATCTATCAGATTGTCCAGAACCAGTTCCACGTGCTCATTGGTTGGGTTCCCTAGATAGTACAGTGTGAAAAACAGTTTCAAGTATAAGATGGAAGACAGATATTAGCATTGCTAGGCAATTAGTCATACACATGGATTTTATTGGTCTTTAGTGTACAGGAAGAACTGTATACTGATGACAATGCTCCCAATGATTGATGATGTGCCAGCTTATACTGTCAGAACTGACCCTCTCCGCTTCCAGAATGAAACTTACCCTATCAAGAAACAAGCGCCACTGCCACCTGAGACATACCATATATTACAATATTTCATTTAATGTTTTGACTTTGAGCAAAAACCATATCTGGGATCAAGTGGAGTCTAAACAAGAGTTTGCATCTATATTTTCCTGAAATGCAAGGTACAGGAAAAGTTACACAATTATCAAGCATAGCAATCACCCCAATGTGACTTTTTACACATTTCTTTGGCATAAATAGTTTTTTAGCATTTTGCTCTCCCGTATATCAAGAAGCTCCAGTCACGAAAGTTTCACCATCAAAGTTGTGTAACTTTTTTGGATTTTGATACGAGCTTTTTAGTTGTTAATGTTGAAATTGCAGGGCAAAGTTATACAAGATAGTAAGCAGAAAGGTGATTTTAAAATACTGAATTAACAGGACGAAACTGCTTAACTATTTTTAGAAATCAGTTTGGTAATATTAAGACAGACTCTCAAAACACTCAGAACTTATTAAAGTGTTTCCAAATTCCAGTATTTCCCTGCAGCAGTCTCATTAAATTAAGCAGACAAAAGGGAGAAAAGGGATTCTTGTTCTTGAAACCCACAGGACCCACTGCAGATCTGCCTGGACATATACTGACAGCTGTTACACTAAAGGAAAATAAAAATGTTAAATGAGTTATCACATAGTTTTTCAGCAGTCACCTGTATATAAAGAAACTAAATCCTTAAAATATTTAAGCAAACAATCTCTTTAACATACTCAGAATTTTTGTCATTAAGTCTTGAAGACAGTTATGTCAAAGAGGGAGATTGGAGTAGAGGGGGATAAGCTGTGTATTTGAAGGGTGAGAGGCACACTTCCAGTCCGAACAAACCCAGTGGTGCTATCGCTGGAACAATGCAAGGAGAGTTAATTTCCCCATGCTTTGTCTCTCCCAAGTCCTATGGTCTAGAAGCCTATAATCTTTTCCAAATATTGCTGAGCAGAGAATGAAAAGATGACTATGTCCCAAAAGGAGTTGCAGAGGGCTTCTCAGGCAGAAAGGTAGGAGTCAATGGCATCCTGATGGGACAGCAGTTCTCAAACCAGAAGCCGAACGCAGGCCATGCCTCTAGGTATTAGTCATTAAGTTTCCCTAAACTGTTGAGGAGTTGCAGGCTATTGCAGGAAACAAAACAAGGCAGTTACCAAAAAAGAATTAATTTTAAAAAAATTAAAATAGTTCAGTGATAGGAGCATTATAAGCATCTGAAACTGACACGTCAATTGTCCAATATACTGTATTTATTGACCACAGAATGGAAAAAGTCTGCTAATTTCTCATTTTAAATGGTAGAGGAAGCTGCAAGGTCCTTAGTCGCACATACATCATCAGGCATAAAACTGAAAAGTTGTCAGAAAAACAAAAAAATCTTTACAAGTTTTGTGAAGAACTAGATAATGTATATTATCTAGACGAAGGGACTAAACAACACACTCAAATACGTTGGAACAGCAAAGCTTTCTCTAATACAATAGTGACCTCGTGCCTAAAGAGCTACAGGCACACTGAACTCTCTTTTACTAATAAACTGATACCAAACAAAATGAATGCAAGAGCTTCAGATGAGCTTTCCTCCTCTCTGGGATGTCAAGAGCCACGCATGCCTGTCACGACAACAGTGGCTCGTGAACCTTAAGACCCTTGAAACAGTGTTCATAGTAACTCCTAAGTCTCTTCAATACAAGCAAGAGAACTCAGAAGAACAGAGATCCTTCTTCAGGGTCTGTACCAAAACCCCCAGAAATGCACAAGGCCAAAAGAAAAGGATGGATAGCGAGCATCATAAGTACAAGATTAGACCTGTGATACTAGCTTGCTCCTCAGTGTGAGGAACACTCCAAAACTTGGCTGAGGAAAAAAAAAAACACACCAAAACCAAAAAGAAACCCCACACCATCAAAACCAGCCATGCAAGACTGTGAGTTAGGAAGCAAGTAAGAGCTTCATAATGACATTAAAGAAGCAATATATCACTCCAGGGAA